TTCGATCCAATATCCCATTCGCATTTCTTGTAATATATGGGAAATTTTCTCTATAGTAAAACGAGACTGTTAGAAAATTTTTAAAATTATTTTCCTGAATAAATATCTATCTTCTCGAAATTTAAGTGATATTCAATTCGATTGATTTATTATTATTTATCCATTTTTTTATTTTTACAATAATTTTGTTTATTAGTTGAATTTATTAATTGAAATTTTTTTCAATTAATTAATTTATTATATTCAATTGTAATTAAATTAATTAATTAATAATATTCAATGTTATAACATTTTTTTTAATATTTGAAGTTTTTTATTTTATGCAACAATATTTTTTTTCAGAAATAAAAATCTTGAAATATTAAAAAAAATATTTTCGCTATGAATATTTTTTCAAAATCAATTTAATTAAATAGAAAACGTTTAGAAATATTTCTCTGCAATGAAGAGATAATCAGAAAAATACAAAATTTACGCATTGGAAAAATAATTTTTATAAAAAAAATTCAATATCCAGAATAAGAAAAGAAGATTTTGCAGATATGACAAAGTATCAAATTTAAATAGTTTTTGTTTGGTTTAGATATGAAAATAATAGAAGAAGAGAGACGGAGTGTATATATATATATATAAAGGAAAATGCAACGAAGCGTTGATGCGAGAGCTTTAATGCGAAGTAAACGTAATTAGCGTGTTGAGTAGAGAAAGAAAGCACATACAATGATAATCATAACGTGTGGCACCCACACACACATAAACACATACGAAAAAAAAGAACAGAAAAAAATGTATACACGAAGACGGGAATGAAAATTGTGTTCAACGCGCATGTGTATAGCTCAATGAACTTAGGGAGCACCGGTTGGTACAAAAGGACCCTCCAAAATAATAAACTCTTTCTGCCTCGAAATTCTTATAAATATTCTCTTCCCGGTGCATGCTCCGTAAGTCCTTTGTGTTTCAAAAGAAATTTCCCTTTTCAACACACACCCAGCAAAGTAGGGAATGTAGTTAGATTTTCCAACGCGAATTTCATATATTTTTGGCTTTTAATGATGTATATTTCATTGCACGGATTTTTTTTCCTCCCTTTCTCACTTATTTCACTCCCTTACCTCATACTTTTCTTTGCCAAAGTCAAGCAGAAAAACACTTTAATTTCAAAACCAAACGAAATAATTCAAATACAATATAAGAAATTAATATTTTCGCAGGAATTTCTTTTTTTCAACATTTAATTCCAATTTCAAACCAAAGGAAATAATTGAAAATGTAAGAAATTAATATTTTCAGGAAACTAGAAAATAATTTCTATATTTAAAACTATAGAAATTGTTTTTGAAAAACTTTTCATCGCATTTATTTTTGAGAGGAAAAAATTTATTTTCTTGTTGAGAAAAAATAAATTCATTCTATTGCCATTTTAAATAATATATTAACTTTCTCGACTAGAATAGCCGGAAGCAAAATTGCTTCACAGTAATCTCTTTTAATAAAACTTTATGTTACTGTTATTTACCGTTATTGTCATAAGGTTTTATAGGTTTTCTTAAAAATGTTATCAACTTGAAAAATAGCCATATCATATATAGGGAACAACAATATTTGTGAACTCGTCACATTTTGAATATGTGAAGAAGAAAAATTTAATATACGAAAGAAAATAAAGAATTGAAAAAGTTGAGAAAAAGATACCATTTTGATAAATCTGATTAAGAAATAATAATACTAATAATACTAATGATACAAATAATTATAATAATGATAAAAATAATGATAAAAATAATGATAAAAATAATGATAATAATGATAAAAATAATGATAATAATGATAATAATAATAAAATAATAATGATAATAATAGAAGAGCACAAAACACCAGACAAGCAATCGACATACGCAATCTAAATGTGAAAGCGGAACGTTATCGTTAGAGCTTTCCTGGCGCTGCTCATGTGATACAGGCGGAAGCTGAGGGGTGGTTTTTACTCCCCAGATGCCAACTATTGTACAATGGAAGATAACGATTTGACGCTAAACGATTCTCTGTCTCTGCTAAACTTACTCTGCGTTTGTTAACATGAAAACGTTTATTGAAAGTCACAATATTGCCTTATTATTATTATTATTTTATTCTCAAGCTCTAAATTACAATTCTAATTAGAAGGATCCTCTATTTACGAATACGAGAAGAGATCTACACGAGGACAATATTAATGAATTCGAAGCACTGCATCTATTTGTAGCAGAAAATAAAAAAAAAAATTACATAAATTATGCTGAAGGTAAATAAAAAAATAGTGAAGGTTGGACCCGCCTTTAACTATTAATTTTCCACACAGTTTATAAATAAATAAATAATATTATTTCACATTTTATCGATAATCAACTTTGATTTTTAGACATGGTCCAACCTTGACTACATTTTTTTGAAATGTTTATAACTTTCTCAATTTTAGACCATATCAACAAAATTGTTTCTCTTTTGTAGCTCTTTTTAAGATTGTAACTCAATTGTCTGAATTTATTTTTAAACAGAAAAGTTATAAACAAAGTTCAAAAGGTGGTCCAACCCTGACTATATAACCCTTACCACTAAACTAGTACTAATTAAATAAATAATAATTAATTCTACAAATAAGAATTTTCATTCCTTCTTCTATTTATTATAAATAATATATACCAGCAACAATTCTTCTACTAACTTCTTACTTGTTAAAATAAAATTAGCAATTTTAAAAATAATAGGTTTTATTGTAAATCATGAGATTAATATAGTTAATTTTATTTATTATAAATACTACCTATATATTTTATTTATTTTGCAATACTATGTACTTTATTTATTGCAAATACTGTATATTTTATTTATTATAAATAATATACAATTTATTTGTTATAAATAATATACATATACTTTATTTATTATAAATAATATATATTTTTTATTTATTATATAAATACCATAAAATGTAATTTCTTTCTGCAAACATCATGGATTCCGCGCGTGAAATATAGCCAACGAAGAAGGTTGAGGTTAAACGGAAGTTCAACTCGAGTTACATTTCAGAACTCCGAGAGTTGTGTATATCACAGAAAGAGTCATATTTACTGGCATAAAAGATGACCGACGTTTACGACAAAGCGCATTTCGTTATATTTCAGATAATTCATTCCCTAACGGGAACCGCACTTTATTAGGATTTATTTCACTTCAAGTAGATTAAATCATTACTGACAAAAAAATTTTTTTATCAAAAAATAGTTATGCCACTAAAATATACTATTAAATACTATACTGAAATACTATAAAATAATATTAATTACTGCTTATTAAATAGCAATTATTACTATTAAACAGTATTAAATAAGTATTAAATATCATTAGAGTAGCTTCAATTAATATTCAACGTTAAATTGGTGTTAATTAATACCAAACTGTATTAAATAATATTTATAGATAGTAGTAATTAAAGTATTAATATAGTATTAATTATTAAATAGGACTGAATTCGATAAGAATTAAACATTAAAGTATTAATTACTGTTAATCAGTATTAAATACTATTAAAATACTATCAGTTACTATAAAACAGTACTAAATGTTATTAAAATCGTATTAAATATTAAATACTATTGAAATAGTACAAATACTATTAAATACTATTGAAATAGTACAAATACTATTAAATACTATTGAAATAGTAAAAATATTTATTAAGATAAATCGAATACTATTTAAATACTATCAGTTACCATATAACTGTACCAAAAGTTATTAAAATCGTATTAAATATTAAATGGTATTAAATTCTATTAAATACTATTGAAATAGTATAAATACTATTAAATAGTATTAAACACTACTAAATACTATTGAAATAGTAAAAATAGTTATTAAGATGAATCGAATACTATCATAATACTAAGTAGTATTAATAGTTATTGAAAAGAAATCAAATACTATAAAACTAAGGCAAATTACTATCAAGAACTATTAAAACAATAGGTAATTAATAAATTAAGTATACAAAAAAAATTGTACACTTTGTTTACTCATGTTTTGTTTCTCCCCTATATCATCTAAGTGCAACTCTTTTTAACTTGATTGTTTCGAATAATGCAGCAGAAAGTGATATCATTGCTTAACGGTATTATAATATTACGACAGTATTGTGGATATTTGATACTGCTCTTGGCAAAAGCAGATCTGTTAGTAAATCTAATTATTCTTCCTTGATGGTAATATCAAAATAAAATGATATTAAGTTGCAGAATTATGATCTGCACTTCATCTCTTGTAAAAAGAGTCTTTCATAATTTTCGTCAAGATTTAAATTTTTTTTTAAACTTCTATTTTTCTTTTTAGTAACATAAGATCCATTAAGTCTTCAACAAAATATTATTAAAAATATTATAATAATATTTTTAATACAAGTTTTTAATAAAAATTTTTAATAACAAAAAAATACTTATAAGTATTTTTTTTTATTAATCTTGATGAAAATTAAAATTTACAACTCGCAATGTTAAATCAATGGAAAACGATAACAAAAGCAGTTAAGATACTTTATTTTTACTAACACTGTCTTAAAAAAACAATTAATGTAATTAACGATTAATTTTTCTTTTTAATTTCAAAAAAATTTAATTTAATTTTTTAATAACTTTCTACTTAAATTTTTATGGTTTGAATTTTTAAAATGATAAATTAAGAAATAAATTATTCATAAAGTAGTAATAAATTGTAAATGATAATTCATTAAAAATTTTTGTTTGTAAAAAATAAGTGGTTTTTTTTTAATAATGGTAATTAATTGTGTATAAAAAATTTGTATTTTAATAAACAGTATTTCTATTAGGCAACAAAATAAAATCTTTTAAATTGAGAGTACTAATTTTTGACAGTGATTATTTCAAGTAAAGTAACTTAACAAATGAAATTATAATTATAAATAAAATCACTTACGTTAGGGTAGAAATTGAAAAATGTAAGCTCACCATACGCACCTGTAACAAAAAAGAAATCTATTAATTATTTAGTAAAATTAAAAAAATCAGTAACGTACTTTCTTTAAATATAAATAAAAATAAGAAAACCATAATTAACATTAATAATAATTAATAGAGAAAATGAAAGAAAAATTAGAAATCAATGTAAATTTGCATAGAATTGAAAATAAAATTGAAATAAATAATAATAAAATAAAAATAAATAATAATAAAAATAAAAATAATAATAATAATAAATATAAATACAAGATAAAAAGAGAATAATTAATAGAGAAAATAAAAAAAAAAATTAAAAAACAATGTAAAGTTGAAGAATTGAAAATAACATTGAAATAAATAATAATAAAATAAAAATAAAATGAAAATAATAATAAATATAAATACAAAATGAAAAGAGAAAAAATACTTCCTCCATGAGGAAGTAATATAAAAAAAAATAAAAATATAAAAAAAAAAAACGGTTTGTCCTGTTTATAAATAAATAAATAAATAAAATATCCAAAAGAAAATGTAATAATAGATAATAAAAGTTAAAAAATAATTAAAAACAATTAAAAATAAAAAACATTGAAAACACTTTATTTATCAACAAATATTGTTTCATTAAAAACTTTTTCAATTTAAATTCACATATTATGTTTTTAATTTTCAACTTAATTTTTACCTTTTTTAAACTTTTATTTTCGACGTTAATTTCAAATTTACCTTTCTGTAGATGAATTTAATTACCTAGTCGAATAATATTTTTTTGAGATTTAATTACTAAATTTAGCAAACCGCAAAGAATTTCTCGGCAGGAGAGTATTAAATTTTTATATAGATAACATTTTTCTTTTTTTTTTTGCTTTTTTTTTTCTTTTTCTTTCAATAATAAAACTACTTTGGTCGAGGAGGGTTGGGAAAAAAAAATCTCATGACTATTCGTTTGAGGTAATTGTGGTTTTACAATTCCAACGAAGTATCATTTTTGGTTAAATTTCTACTCTATTTTTTTTATTTCTCTCCTTCTCACTTCCTTTTTCTCCAATCTTTTGGTACTTTCCTCTTTTTGACACTGATCTTTGGCTTAAGTGCGCCGAGTTTTTAGCCAAAGTAAGGGGATCGATAATCGTGGGTTGTATTTAAGTGGGACTAGGTCGTCAGACTAAGAAGCAACTAATAGAGGTGGCCCGAAAGACTCACTTAAAAATCGTTTATCTTCTTTTAGTTTCACAACTCTTTGATTTTAAAACTTCACAAGCGATTTAATGCATGAATTAATTCGAAAATTCTCTTTACATTTTCGTCACAACATTTTTTTATTCTTTTATTTTAAAAATAGTATTTTTTTTTAATTAAAATTAAATTATCTATTTTTTTAATTAATAATAATAATAATAATAATAATAATAATAATAATAATGAACCTATTAAAGTAATAACAGAAAAAAAAAGAAATAGAAAAAGAAAGAAAAATAGACTGAAATTAAAAAAGCTAAAAAAACACAACTATCTATCGAGATGGAATTTTTCACACAATCCCCAAGATTTGAAAGAAAAAGAATTTTCGTTTCTATTTTGTTTTCATCAATTTAAAATCTTAATGTCATTCAGCTGCTCGGAAGCGTTTGAATAATATAATAGCAACCGAATAATGCCAAGGATTGAGTCCAAAGACAACTACCGGTATTCTTAAGCTTTGAAGATAAAAAAAACGTTCTAACAAAGAAGAAAAAAAACCTATCATAGCGGACCGATAGCTAAAGTAAAAAAAAAATAATAATAATAAAAATAATGAAAAAGAAAAATAAAGAATAGGTTGAGAATGAAAGACCTGGATTAAAATGTGCCACAAGTTTTGAATGAAATATCATCTTGAATTTTATGCAAAGACGAAATGCTTCCCGAGAAAGAAAAAAACACTTTAATTATATCGCAAAGCTCTTTCTTAAACATTTTTTTTCCTACCCTTTCTAATTTTTTTTTGCCTTGTATCAAAAAAAAAAAAAAAATTCTTTCTCAAAGAGAATTGAAAAAAAGAGAAATTGTCTTTTTATCAGAAATTTTTTACAATAGATATATCAACTGTTATAAACTTTTCAATAAAGTTAAATTGTATGCACTTTTTCACTTATGTTATAGAATCAAGTTTTTTTCGAAAAGAAAAATAAAAAAAAGCTCCTTAACCTGCGGAAACGCACATTCAATGGTTCCATTGACGTCGTGAACTCGTTATTATATTGTGCTTTCTACTTTTTTTTCTGATCAATGACCCGTGCAATCTTTTTCAATAATAATATGGCACCCGTACGATAAGGGGCCAATTAATTTTCAAGTTTTCTTCACATCCATATGTAATTTTTTTTATAGTGATGAAGAGATAAAAAAAATTGATTCAAATTTTCAACTAATTACTATTACTCTTATGATTCATTGTTAGTATTAATAATTTAATATTATTTGAATTTATCGCTCGATGGGATTTTAATAAAAGTAATCAAATGCTTTCTATTCTTTTATAATTAATATTATTCACGATAATTGATCTTTAATAAGAGATTTAAATAAATTAATAAATAAGTTCATTATTTTAAAATAATTATAATTATTATGAACAAATAATTGAATAATTAAAAAAATTAATTCATTAAATAATTAAAATAATATTAAAAATAATAACAATTATAATTTTTCAAAAAATTTCCAATTCTAACCTTTATGACATTTATCCACTTATAAGAATATTGTTATAAAACATGAAGATATCGATCACTCCGAGTCTTCGACTCGGAGTGATTAATGTCTTCATGTTTAATAATAATTTAAATTTCCATAAAATTAAAAAAAAAATTCAATTAATTAACAAATATTTTAATAAAATCCTTCGCAAGAATTTAATTATTCTTACAAGTAATATATGTTTTCACATGAATTTAATTATTAAAAAAAATGTAATAAAATTCGTTGTAAGAATTCAATTATTTTTATAAATAATAAAATTTTTCGCTGAAATTCAAATATTTTGAAAATCTACTATTTTAATAAAATTTCTCAAAAGAATTCAATTGCTTAAAAAAATCCAGTAAAATTAATTCTTCAATTAAAAATATATATTAAAAAATAAAAACTTTACATAATTTCAAAAGAATGGCAATTAAAATTTTAAATAACAAATAGTTCTACGGAATTATCAATTAAAATTATCTGAGAAATTCAGATTTTCAAAGATTCTGATATGAAACCTTTTCGAAATTCAATTATTTCTAAAAATTGCAATTATTAGTAACTTCTCCAAAATTTATTAATTTTTTTAGAGTTTTTAACTAAAATTCTTCTTTAAATCAATTATTTTTAATAATTTTTGAAAAAGTTCTTCGAGAATTTTCACATCCATTTAACTCAATTTTAAGAAATTTTAATTATTCGGAAATTATTCAATTAAAAATGTATTAGAAAATAAAAACTTTAAATAAGAATTTCAAGTAAAATTCAATTAAACTTTTTCAAAAAATATAAATTCTACATAATTATTAGTTAAAAATATGGAAAATTCAAATTTACAAAGATTTTAATTTGAAACCTTTTCAAAATTTCATGCTATAGTGCTTTTTATAGTCAATTATTATCTAAAATTTTAACTGAAATTCATTTTTAAATAAATTTTTATTAAAAAATTCTATGAGAATTGAATTATTTAAATAGAAAAATAAATAATTTATTGAATAAATGTTCCTCAAAATTCAATTATCATAAAGAATTTTATCAATAAATTTTTAAATAACCGAATTTTTCGATGAATTTTAATAAAATGTTCAGGAATAATTAAAATCATTGAAATTCTACGATGAGTTTTATTATTCATGAGAACAATTAAATCTCATCTGTAAAAAATTTTATTATTTATGAAAATAATTGAATTATTACGAACAAATTTATAAAAAAAATTTGTAAATAGTTGAATTCCAGTGAAATTTTTATTATTTATGAAAATAATTGAATTCTTGCAACGAATTTTATTAACATTTTTTTCTTTAATAATTTAATTCTTTTAAAAAATTTTATTAAAAATAAAAGTAGACATTTAAAATCATTGAAATATTGGATTGAGGAAAATTGATGAAAATAATTGAATTCATGCAAAGAATTTTAATAAATTTTTTTTAAATAATTGAATTCTTTTGAAAAATGATATTAAAAATAGCAGACATTTAAAATCATTGAAATATTGGATTGAAGAAAATTGATGAAAATAATTGAATTCTTGCAACGAATTTTATTAACATTTTTTTTTTAATAATTGAATTCTTTTGAAAAATTTTATTAAAAATAGTAGACATTTAAAATCATTGAAATTAATGAATTGAGAAAAATTGATGAAAATAATTGAATTCTTGCAACGAATTTTATTAAATTTTTTTTTTAAATAATTGAAATTCTATAAGAAATTTTATTATTTTCAAAGATAATTGAAATTTAAACTAGAATTTTTTTTTAATTTTTGAACATAATTAAATTTTTGCGCAGAATTTTATTACTTTTGAATATAATTGAATTTCTAAAATCATTTGTAAGTTTTCCAAAATTCAATTTTTTCCAGTACTTTAATAAAAATCCCTGACTTGTCCCTGATTTTCCTGACCAATTCTACTGTCCCTGACTTTTCCCTGAATTCCCTGATTTCCCTGACCTGTGTCAACCCTGTAAAGTGATAAATAAATATATAAATAAAATTGGAAAAATTTCAAATTGGAAAAATAAAGAACAATAATAATATTTCAAATAATTTAACAAAATTACTGAAACATTGAATAATTTAATTTTGAAATTAAAAAAAAATTAGGTTTCTGCAAAGTTTAATAGAAATTTCTTCAAGACAATTGAATTCCCAAAAAATAATTCATTGAAAGATTCCCAGATTTTTGTTCTCATTTGACTATCAGTTATCCGGAACAAAAAAAAAAAAAAAAAAAAAAAAAAAAAAAAAAAAAAAAAAAAATAAAAGGAAAAAAAAGTGATAA